CATCATTTCTATTAATTTTGTTGGCTCATTGAATTAAGTTTAATGGATTTATTTTACATTGTATTTGTAAGAAACCATGTCAAGAATGTCAGAGAACAGAGGAGCGAAAATTGTATGCAGGCGAAAACCAAAAGGCAGGCAACCCAATTCAGATCCCAATGTGATGGATTGATGATGTGGAAGCATATCTACAACAGCTTCGGGTTTGGCCATGGAGACTTAAGGCCCAGGAGAGATCTGAATGGAGGGATGGGTTTAAGCAGGCCAGAACCCTCCATGGGCTGTAGCGCTACTGGGATGGATGGAAGAAACTGTGTTATCAATATGTTGGCTTGTTTTTTTATAGTCATCAAAATATGATGCTTTTTCTTTGTTCAAAATGTTTGCCTTTTTCTAAATTTTCATCAAAATGTTGCTCATTTCCTCAGGAACACTTTGATGGTTTCTTGGTAGAGGAGAAAGAAAAGCAAAGAGAATTCATTGCAAAAGTCATTGAGGTTTTGTTTCTTTTTTTATCTAAGAGATTAATTTTTTTTTTATATCTTTCATAAACTTTTGCTTTTCAAATCATTTTTAATAGTTAAATTTTGTTTTCCTTCATGTCAATAATTACATTTTTTTATTTTATAAAGGAAAAGAGTCAAGAACAACAAGAGACTCTAAAACAGGAACTAAATACAGAACAAGAAAAAATCAGATCCCATGTGGAACAAATAAAGGTAATTTTGCTGTCCATAGGCACTTGTCTGTCACATCTATACTTTAAAATTTAAAAAAAAAAAAAAGTTTAGAGAACAGATGAAATTATTTTCTACTTTGAAAAATGATTTAGGATCTGTTAAATCAAAAGGAATCCTTTGTTTGTTTGTGATCACCAGTTGCAGTGTTGTGATGACCTGGCTGAAGAGAGAAAACAACAGGAGGCTGCACTAAAGTGTCTGCGGGAAGAGCAACAAAAGGAAGCTGAAGTAAATATACGCAGAGTAATAGGACACAGGCAACAAATGTTAAATGAAGAGACAGTTCTTTTTCAGTTATATGTTACACTGTGTTTTCTATTTACTTCACCTGTTGATTGATTGATTTTTTAAAGGGATAAATAAATGAAGACATTTCTAAATGGATCATTTTTAACTTGAGATCAATTCTTGCACTGACTGTTTCATTTTGATTTGCTTGTCGGCGAATCCCAATACCGGTGCTAGATTGATTGATACTTAATTGGGTGGCTGCCTGGTCGTGCAGTTTGCGCGCTGCACTTTTGTTCAGATTTATCGATGGTCCCGGGTTCAAACCCTGCCCGCTTCCATCCCCCGTCGTCCTGCGGGAGGTTTGGACTAGGAAGTAATTATCTTCAACTCGAAATATGTAAAACAAACAAACAAACTAATTACGCTTCTACTCTTTTCACTACAAAAGTCAGAATGTGACAATTTGTCTCCCTTTCAAATTTAGCCGCACATTAAAAAGAGGCAACCCTGTTGGACCTAAATTAAAGACACTTAAGCCACAAATGTTAAAAAACTTGTTAAAGATTCAACAATATGCATATTATGAATGCAACATGTAAAAATGGATAAACCTACAAATATATATACTGTTTTAATAGATCTATTCATACTACAGATACAAGACATAAAGAGCTGCTCTAACCATATTATTCAAAATATTGTAGAAGCATTCTGTTTGTAATATTTTTTCAGGAACAAATATCGAGTTTGGTGCAAGATGAAAAAGAGAAAAGTCGAGCAGCATTGAGAACAGCCTTGGAGCAATCTAGGTTAGACATGCAGTCATATATACAAGAACAGAAACAGGTCAGCTTAATAAATTCTTTCTGTATAGCCATTGGCCTACATATTGTATTTTTATATAAATAACATCAGAGTTACACCTTTGAGATAAAAATAGTATTAATGTATCACCACAGAAGCAGATAGGGAGTAGGATAGGATGGCCAAAAAAAAAAAAATACACATGAGATTTTAAAGCTTTTGTTAAAAAAAAAAAGAATATGTCATGATCTCTACAACTGACCAGTCCAGTGTTGATTGTTCTTTCAGCCACATGCGTAGTCTGAGGTAAAACCATGAAGATAAACCATTGTCTTTTCCTGAAGTTTCAGTCATTCTTTCAGCTTTTTAATTTTTTGTGACCAAATAATTGACCTTAATAGTTTTATTATGTGACTTGGAGGACTTTCTAAAATAATAATGTTTTTTCCCCCCCCAGTCTGATTCATTTGTACGACAGCGCCACCTATTAAGTCTTGATCTCTTCTTGGAAAGTTCACGACAACAGATTCAAATTTTAATGCAGTCTGAGAAACCTCAGCCTACGTTGTTATCCGAAGCTAAAGCTAACGATAAGTCTTGAAGCCTAGAACTATTTTATTTTGCTTTGTTGACTTGTTACTTTAAAATGCTGTTGTTTCCCTGTGTCTTTTTGAGCCCAGTGGAAGGGCTGCATGTCTGGAGGGCATCATGTCTGGAAGGCTGCATGTCTGGTCACAAATTAATGTAAATGTCTTCAAGTTGTCTGTTAAAGATTTGTATTGGATCATTGGCTTAAAATTCTGGTTAAAGGGCTGTTTGTTTGATTTCAAGGTCTAGTTGCTTAAGTCAATGTGAACATCTTCAGGTTGTCAAGAGATTTGTTTGTCCAATCATTGGGTTTGGGGTATGGTTAAAGGTCTGTTTGTATGATTTGAAGGTCTAGTTGCTTTAATTTAATGTCACAATGTACATTTTGTTTTCAACTTTTGGCTGGTGTAATGACATTGTTGGTTGTTTAAAAACCATGATCTGTGTAAAAGAGTCAATTTTTTTGTATATTAAAGAATGTTTATATACTTATCAGGAGCTACATGTAAAGAACAACATCCATTGTAAATATTTCTACACATCTGATTGCTTTGGAAACATTATTCAACTAGTCATATAACCTGCTATTGTATTTTTAGTTCATGTTCATTTTGTTTTTCTTCTAATCTCTATCATTGCATAATTTAATGATGACTTAAGGAAGTCAGTTAACTTCCTTTTTAGTTATAAAGAAAAAATTAAAAACTGATTTTTTTTTTATGTTTTGACTTATTTAAAAAAAAATTATTTTGATTTTTTTTCCTGAAATTTTTGATGCCAATTAGAATGTAACTCAAATCTCATTTTGTACACCAGTCTGAGTCATATTTTTACAGCGATGATTGAGATAATTTTGGAGTTTATTATTGTTTAAAATGTTTATTTAGTTTTAAATTGAATGACTACTTGTACTTCTGTTCAACTGGAAACAAATTTTTATCACTGAGTATTGAAATCTTAAATCAATAAGTTGTACTTTTCTTTAAAACCTATTGTGTTTAATATGAGTTACCTCATACTTTCAGATGTCATAATGACTCAGTCCCATGTCCCTTTATCTGAGCCCTTTGAAACAATCTCCCATACTGCATCAGGAAGCAGCGGATGCGTGGTTCCCTTGGACTTGATGACTTTCTGCTGATGCAGGCCGTAAAAAGTGTGTCATGACCCTCTGGCTGAGCAATATTTTTTTATGAAAAAAGTTTTTTTTTTTTTAAATTTGATATGAAATTGGTCTTGGTCTAAATTAGTTTAGTACATTAAAAAATTTTTTTTATCATGTCAGTAAGTAATGTTAAGTGCAAATGTAAATTATCTTCTATTATACTGGGTGTTGGCCCCTATCAAGTACATCATTGGAAAATTTCATACATACATAAAGACAATGTTTTCATAATAATTAGCATTCCATTTGATATGGGGCTCACTAGTCTGTCAGATTCCATTCCAGGAAACTTATTAATACGAAAAGGGCTTGGTGTTTAAGAGGTCAAGGCTGACTACTTAGGGTCCTGAGTTCAAATTTGGATTTTTTGAAACAGGATTTCAGAATATTTCTAAGTCTAGAGTGAACCACTTCAAATGGACTCTTGAGAAAGTAAAGTATATAAACAAACATTAGACTCGTAGAAGATGAATTTAACATTAGCTGGGATAATAGAAACTAGTATTTAAATCCTTAAGCATTAAAAAAAACAACAACAGAAGTCTTAAAATTGAAAAACAATGATTCATGGAATTATTAACTTATTAACTAGTAACTCTCCATCAAATATAAAAATATATATAACATTTCCCTCCCTTTGATCTGTGAACCTCTTTTCTTTATATCTGATTCTGTCATGATTCAAAACATACACATTAACTGGTCACGGAGCACTAGGTCTGGATTGGCACATTTACTTATAAATCTAATTGAAAAACTTATTGTATTCAGTTCCTCTGTCACTAGATTTTTTTTGCCCGATACAAGATTTAGGCTGCTTGTTTAAAAAGGATTCTTTATATTAGAAGAGCAGCCTCAGAACTAAAATGTTGGAAAAGTAATTTTTTGTTATTGAGGCCTGTATTTATGTTTATTTTTGGTGTTGATAGGATTGTCTTCATTAACCTCATCAGTATTGTGACCTAGTAGATTATATATATATAGATTTATATCTATCAACATTGTGATGAGTTATAATAAATATTGAGATAGTTACATAATCATAAATTTTAATCATATTGTTTTTCTTGTAATAACTAGTATCCTAAAAATATTGCGAAGAAAATTATTATAATTTTTTTTAAAGTACATCATTGAATTTTATATAAAACATTGTTTTCTCATTTTAGTGGTCCTCAACCCTAACCCTTGTGGCCCCTGAGGATGTACTAATAAATATTCATATTGTTGAAAAGAAGTGCACCAATGGCACTAATTTCTGTGGTGTTCTACAGCCAGGACACAAAAATGTATTTAGAGGTGTTGTGTGAAACAGTTTTCTATATGGTATGTGAGGCTCAAAGGCCAAAACTGCTTGGCTATGGCTTGGCCACCTTAGAAGGGGGGCTGAAGTTCGAATCTTGACTCAAGCAGAGTTGTGTTAGCTGAGCACCTAAAGGTAGCATGGTAACCTTCTCACAAATTACCCCCCCCCCCCCCCCCCCCCAAACTGGTCCACTAAAGAGATTGGACCATAGCGCACTGAGCATACTATAAGCATGAAAGATTCGCTATATAAAAGCAATTTAGAAAAGAAAAAAGATTTTACATAGAATGATAACATTGTTTCCAGACTAGAAGGGAATGGTTTCATATGTAATGATTATCATGTGTGCGTATTGAAGGTAAATGGGTTTATAGCAATATAAGGCTTTTTTTTTTTTTTTTTTTTTACTGTTAAGAATATGCTCTAACCCAGCTTTTGAGGTTTGCATTATAAGCCATTAGTTTTTAATGATATGCTACAAATTGTAAAATACATTATTTCATGTACAAGTTGTGTATTGTTATTTTTATTTTAATGTTATACAATTAGCATGTTTGATCATTCTCACAGCGAGAATGGCTTCCTGGTTGTGTAGTATGTGCTCTGGACTGCTGTTTGGTGGTCTCATTATGATCCCAGATTCGAACCATGCCTGCTGCCATCCCACGTCGTCCAGCGGGATGTTTGGGCTAGGATGTAAATATCTTCAAATCTGAAAGGACATCTGAAACATGTTAATATTTTACAACACAGTTCAGCACCAGCAGAGTTTGGCATACAACAAAACTGGCAGACTTCAACAAGATTAGCAGTCTCTAACTTTTAGAGGTTTTTTAGCAAGAAATCTTATGCAGTTGTAACTTTCTATCCCTATATCTTGTCAATGGAGCGGGCTGGATGTCTAATCGTTTTCACAACCTTCTGCCAAAGTCATCTATTGCTGTTTGTAATCTGTTGACAGCAGCTTCTCTGATGCTTTATTAAATACATCCATCTACTGCTTCTTTCCCATTGAAAGTGTAACAAGACATCTGATACACTGAGATTTATATCAAGGCAAGTGCAGGCTGTGTTAAAAAGGAAACTGCAATAAAGGTCTTTTTATATTGTTTGATTTGAATTGTTTTTAACATGGAAGACTTTGCAAAGCATCCAATTGAAAACATGCAGAATCTTAAAAGACATGCAGAAAATAATGAGCTCAAGAAAAAAAACTAGGGTTATGCTGAATGTTAGGATGTCTGCCAAAGGCCAACAGACCACTTTCTTAAACAGTATTAAACATGAAGTATAAATATTCAGTTGTACTTTCATCCAGAGCTATAATCTTTAGATCTGCTATAATCCTACAATGGCTGTCTCTAGAAACATTGGAAGCACACATGATTTCACCTCGACTCCTGATGTCTGTAACTGCAAGGCAGAGTCAAGAATCAGAGTACCACTTTCTTGGTAGTAAAATTGCCTTCTAGGGCAGATAAGCTCCAATACACATGCACAGTGGTTGATCAATTACTTTTACTCAATATTAAAGATTATTGGAGCTTGAAAAATTTTTGCGATCTACGCTAGACGTAGGGACAGACAGACTGACCACACAAAACTAATGGTTATTTTCTTTTCAAGGGCTGCTTAAAATAGCTTGCACATTACTATTTATGCTTCAACGCTTTAAAAAAGAAACTTAAACAAAAATCGAAAACCAAGAAGGGTTAGATATATATATTTAACACCCTAAACTAAAACAATAAATTCATTAATCGCTTATCTCTCTCCCCCCCCCCCCTTAATTTTTTTTCCCATTCATTGTGGATGCCTTTTATTTAAAAAACAAAACAAACGCTTTTGTTTTCAAAAATGCAAAACTATAATACGCTCAATATCACAAGGTAGGATTAATTAAGGAAGACAGACGATGAAATTGTCGGCAAAATATGTTAACTAAGACTAAGAGTCACTGCTAGGTCTTAGGTAGCTACGGCTACGTTAAAAAAACAAACCAATAGTAGTCCCTACTGTGGAACACTAAATCTAGATGTCTGGATGATAAAATATTACTAGACCTATAATATCCTGACACCCAGCAAAGCAATAATCAATAAGATCTAGAATATTTGGGATTGAACAATTCAACAATCTATCCACATCTAGACTTATTTATCTATGGAATATGGATCAATGTGATATTGTACAGAGTACAGACTTATGTTCTTAGTGACTTATTTCCAGTTAACAACTGTACACAGTGCAGGCATGACTTTGCTATTAATAGCTACCCAACCGATAGAATTTAGCAGATGTGAATGGTGGAAAGAAATGCTTTGTCATTGGTCACAACTTGGGGGCATTTACATCAGGGTTAAGGTCAGAGGTAACACTGTCACGTGACTTACATAAGTAAGCTATCTAGCAGTTTCATAACGATAAAGCATGCTGGCTTAATTTAACAGATGGCCTAAAACTATTCCGATCAACTGAAGACTAGTTTAGATCTACTCCAGAAGTGTTTCTTTGTGAAAGTATGAACCATATTTAGATCTACTTTATTATTAACATTCATTGAATTATCTGCAATTATTCTACTATAGTGAATAGTGTCTATAGTGTAGACAATATAAAAATTCAGTATATATAGATTCTAACTATATTTCATTATCTGTTACAATCTGTAATTTATACCATTTAAAGTATTTATAAATTTATTTATACTTGTCTAGATAGATTTCTGATACGGACTGATAGATCTAGATAATATAGACTTAACTATGAATTGTATGACTATAGCCTAGCCTACCCTACTTCAGATTTATAGACTAGTACTACTACTACTATCTAGTCTAGTAGGTCTAGATCTAGTATAGGTTCACCGTTATAAAAATCTAGATCTGAGCTAGCCTGAAAACCAGTTACCAGTGACTTCGCAGAATTTAAGTCATTGGTTAATATTTAATATGCATGACTGAATACATGCTGTGTAGGAAGCAGTCATCTTCTTTTTTGAAGTAACGTCTCTATTATATAAGTATTATAAGATAAGATTAGGTGATTCTTGTAAAAAAAAAAAAGCAATATTCGCATATTCTGATTGGTTGCATCATCTTAATTTAATAAATATAGACACATAAGAATTAAAGGCTATCTTATCTTATATATTACAGAATACAGACGCTACTACTTCTTAAAAGAAGATAATTACGTCCTATGCATTTCATCTGTCAAACTAGTCTTGCAGGTTAATCAATGACCTCAACTGTGATAAGTCGTTGGTTTTCCTGGCTGATTCAGGCAACTCATTCCATTCTCTAATGGCACTAGAGAAGAAGGAGCACTTGTACAAATTTGTTCTATCATATGGAATAAGAAATTTGCCCCTATCTTTGTGTCTTTCTGGGTTTTTTATTTGGTTTAGTTTTTCTATTTGTAAGTTATGGTTTAGTATTTTATTTTATGTAGGCTATTATCCTTGATTTTCCTGACTTGTTTAGAGAACTCCTTCCAGGCTCACCCATCTGTGAGGATGAATAATGGCATTAGTCACTAGGAGTAGGAATAGAATAGTCCCAGTACTATTAGATCTATAAGATATAGATCTATAAAACTTATATTCTCTTAAAAATAATGTAATGTTAATCATTTAATTAAAAGTGTAGCACTCGACACTAAAATCAGATTAATGTGCTCCACAGTGTCTGACCCATGTGAGGAATGGGCGAGGCGGATGGCATGATTTGATGGAGCTTTAATTCCTTTCATCCTTCCCATGTACAATGCTTGCTTGTTTGATATAACATGCTTTGGAAGCCTTCTAGAGGAAAAGTTTTTATCACAGATAGCCTTGTCTCCCCTAGCAGGCCTTTCCATGGGGGTGAAACGATGAGGCTTGGACTTTTAGCTTTATATAGAAGATAAATGCATTTAACTTTAACTTAACATTGATATTCATGTCATTTCAGCCAATTATTAGGAAAGTAAGAGTGCTTATAACATTGAGAGACAAAATGAAATCAAACAATACAAATATTTGGCTGCCTGGTCATGTGGTTTGCATGCTGGATTTATCGTTTGGATTTAGCGATGCTCCCGGGTTGAAACCCTGCCCATTCCCATCCCCCTTCGTCCTGCGGGAGGTTTGGACTGGAAGTAAACCATCTTCAACTCTGAAGGAACATCCAAGACATGCAAAACAATTAAATCCCTAAAGAAACCACAGTAGCAACTCATTTCAATAGAATTTGTTTTTGTTTTTTTTTTCAACCTATTTTACAAGTTTTAAGTTTGAATCCTTTCATTTTGCTTCTTATCGTGTAGTTTTAGATAATTTAAAAACGATATTTTATTTGATATCACATAAAATGCAACCCAAGTAGTCTGGTATAATTAATAAAAAAAAATGCTTCTTTATTTCAGAATTTATTTCAATATTTCTGAAGGAAGAGGATTATTGCTGCAACTTTAAAATGTCCAATGATATACGGGTAGGTTCTTTTATACAATTTATCTATTATACATTAAATTTATATTAAATAAATGATAATTTTATATGTAATACAGCCACAGTATTGCAATAACTGAATGGCTCCTCATGAATGCAAAATTTTTATTAGATTGTCACTTGTAATTAATGCTGAAACTTAAGTGAAGATTTCAAACAAGCGAAAGTAAAAAGAATACTTTTTTAAAGGTAAAGCTTATTTAAGGGCAAGAACCACTAATTAATGTCATTAATTTCAAGGGTTTAGCTCCCTTTCTGCTATATGAGATAAAATTAATTAATTACTGCTAATTGTTTATTTAATAGTTAAGTTTTTTTTATTGATTCATATATTGTCAATGATTATGAATATAATTATGAAAAATTTAAACTTGATCCAAGAATGGGAAGTGGGAGAAAAAATGAGACAGAACGTAATAAGTGGTAATAAATCCATATATGCACCCACATCTCTCATTTAGTAGCACTTACTCCCTTTGTTTTGATATCAAACAAAATAATTAATTACTAATTAATTAAACTAGATAAACTAATAGATTGTTTTAATTGATGTAAGTTTTGTTAGATACAACAAATAATTGTGCACAATTTTAACTTCATCAGACAGATTGAGTTGATATAAGCTTTGCATAACTTACCTTCACCTGAACTTGGTCTGTTGGACCATTGGGGCACCACACAGGATCTGTTGACTGTCATCCATTCTTCTCTGCCATCCATTCTTTTTTATGTCGCTTTTCCACCACTTTCTCTGTCTGCCTCTTCTTCTTTGCCAGGTACTGTTCTGATAAGTGTTTTGCAAGCCAAATTTAATTATTGTTTTCTTACCCTGTTTTGAATAAGGTTTTTCTTAATAATATTAATTGTCGCCATAGCGAAATATAAAAAAAATGATTAAAAAAACAAAACAAACTT